ATGGCTATGCAGGCGACGCGTATTCCGAGGCTGCATCAAGTTCGGAGAGCTGGTCCAGTGGCCCTGAACTTCGACGGCACGCCCTCACATCCGCTGTGGGATACGGGCTTGGCGCGCATGGTGCGCCTCCGCCGCTGCCAAGGGACATGCGAAGCGATCTTCGTCGCGCCTGGCATACGCCACGACCCACGACGCCAGGATGGATCACGACCTTCAGTTTAAAGCTCGGTCCGCGCCGCTGGTCCGCTGGGCGCTGCTCTGCCGTTGTCCCTGACAGCTTTGATGTGGTCTTCGCGGTCCGCCTTTGGTTGGAAGACTTACGTGGATAGCACCTTGGATCGTCGGAAGATCGCGCCGTCGTCTGTTCGAGAGCTCGCTCACGCTGCGTCGGTTCGGAGGCTCTGGGAGAGCTGGGCCGCGCGGTCGATTCCAGCTGATGACGTACAACTCTCCAAGCGCTCCCGGCACGCTCCCCGGCGCTCCCAGGCGTTCCCAGGCGCTCCCAGGCGCTCCCAGGCAGGGAGAATGCTTTGAACCCACCCCCAGGTTGCTCCGAAGAGCCTCGGCGCCCGAGGGTCGCTCCGATGAGGACTCCCAAACAGAGCCCGAGGAGGAAGACCCTGCCTTAGGCAAACCACTCGGGGATGGACAGACCCCCCTTTAGCAGAACGTGGTTTAGTGAAAGCGACCTGAGGCCCAAACCTGGCGGGCGCAAGCCTGGAAAATAACGGCCACGGCGCCCTCTCGAGAACCGAAAACGGACAATTCACTAATCGACGTGTCACTGTTGGGGGTTCTGTCCACCCCCGAACCACCTCAATGGACTCCTCCAGCCAAGGTAACGGCAATATTGCGAACGGCTGTTGGTGGCGGCATGCGGCCGCCTGCTCGTGCGAGAGACACTGCCAGATCTCGCATTGACGCATGCCTCTCGCCCCTTGTTGCAGGGATGCCGCGCGCGGCTGACGTCACGTCGTGCGGGGATATGTTTGGCTGAGGCCAACATTGGCATCAGACGCGACGTGATGGGGTCGACTGATGTTCGAGGGTTCCCAGCGGAAGAAGAGGGGTCCCAATTTTGGAATCGGAGCCCAGATCCTCGCTCCCGTGTTCCTCCCCCTCCGCGACGAGACGACACACAGGCCCATGGCATGTGCCGTGCGGGCCTGCTGGCACGATCACGGGCACGGCGTGCACTGACGGGGCTTGCAGGAACCTTGGAGTTGGCCTGAAGCGGCCCGCGCCGGTTGGGGTCTCGCCCGAGTGTCTGAGCGGCAGGCTTCGGCTGTTGTGTGTTGGGGCCTTGCCAGGCCCCCAGTCAATCCTCTCCACGGGCCGAGCTCTACGCGATTTTCAGGCGTTGCATCTAGCTGTGCTCCCGCTCAGTGTGTGCACCGACTTGAGGGGGCTTGTTGATGGAATCGCCGCGGGTCCACTCTGGAGTGCAGGGCCTCGGATGCCCAATGACGATCTCTGGGGCGCCATCTGGGCCAAGCTGGACGATCTTGGGGGCCCTGCAGAGGCTCTCGACGTCAGGCATGTCAAAGCTTACCAACAATGCTCCTCTCTGCACGTCAGGGGAAACAGATGGGCCGACCTTGCGGCCACCAGAGGTAGGGATTTACACAGTGCTAGCAAGCAAGCGCTCACTGCTATGAGGATTGCTGGCAGGTCTCAGGGAAGGCTTTTGAAGTGCTCGGTCGAAGCTTACGGTTGCCACCAACCAGAGAGCTAAACCAAAGCTCAATATTCCCGAGACAGAGGCTTGAAATGGGAACCAAACCGCTCGCGCTGTGTCATAGTTTTTCTCAAGTGTCAAACCGGGTTTTCTGGAGGCGTTCCTATTGTAAGCGGGGAGTCCGCACTGCCAAAGCCAAACTTAAACTTTCAACATCAGGGGTGCCTGGCCAGAATCTCGTCGTGGCGGCAACCGAATAGGGGGCTGGGACGAGAGACCTCCTTGGGGGTGCTGGCCTGCGGGCTGAAACTGGGGGGCCGTTTCTCCGGGGTAGGGTAAGCCCAATGGAGGACGGTTGCAACCGGAGCTCTCTCCCCCCCCATGCGCAAGGAAGAAGGCGAGGCTGGACCGTCTGAGACCCTCGGGGCTGGTGTCCGGGAGCCTGGGAGGGCAAGACAAGGAGGTCGTCTGCCCGGGCGACCTATTGAAGGCGGCCCAGTTACCGATGGGGCCCTCGATCGATCGGTTCGCCAGCGCGTGGCCTTCTCCTCCCAAGTGGAGGGGCGGACCGTTGACGGTGAAGGGTTGACCCCAGATGTTGCGCAGGCGGGCCACAGACTTCGCGATCGCGCAGGCCCTGCCTGTGCGCCTCCAGCTGGTAAGCGCCCCAGGTTTGAAGGTCAAAGAGACAGGCCCTCCCTCTCCCAGGCCACTGTCCCAGCCAGCCCCTTATGAGCGTCTCGGTCGCGACGGCCGACGACAGTGTACCCTACGAGGGCTGGGCGCTGCCAAGATGCATCCAAATGCGTCTCAATCGAGACTTGGCGTCAGGGGCAGCCGTACGTCTCAGCCATACGACTCGTCCATGCCAATTCGGGGGTGGTTCGTGGTGCCTGACATCTTCCTGGCGCTGGGCCGCCCCCGAACTCGTCTGCGCGGTCACCCTCTCGTGGGGCGTGGCGGGGTCAGGCGACATAATGGCGCCGCTCTCGGGCGCACGCCCCGCCACCCCCCCGACCGCCCCGCTCATCCCGCGCCGCAAAATCGGGCATGACGGCCGCCCCGCGATCCCGCGCCTCCGCGGGCGTGGGCTGTCTTCTGTTTTCTGGGGAGGGGGGGGGGGCGCCTCTGTCCCTCGCCTCTCGTGAGGTGTGCGCTCGTGCACTGCACGGCGTCTCCCCTGCAGTGTCGTACCTGGTCCACCTCCACATCCTGCTGCTCCTCCACCTCCACCTCTGCATCTTCCACCTCTTTCACCTCCACCTCCTCAGACACCTCTCCTTCCACGTCCACATCCTGCTCCGTCTCCTTTTCCGCCTCCTGCTCCACTTCCATTTTTTGATGTTTCACTCCCCGGCCCGTCCCCTGTCGCACCACTGGGGGAATCCGTAGGTCGAGCTCGGCATGTTGCCACACGCACACACACACACGCACTCACACACCCGCGCAAATGCACTGACAGAGCGGCCTAAACGCTAAAGCTGCATGATGAAACACATGGCCCGCTCCTCCCGCACCCCCGAATCCTCCGACGCCCCCTGCAGGTGCCTCCTCTTTTTTGGTGGCGATGCTCGCGGCCATGCGCCCGCTGCCTTTGTTCTTTTCCTTTTCTGGAAGGTGACGCTGTCGACGCTGATCCGTCCAATAAGAATCCCATCCTGAAACCCAGCGGCCGTTGCCGCTAGGGGGCTCGATCAAAACCAAAATGTCGGGAGGAGAAACTCCTCCTCCTCCTCCTCCTCCTCCTCCTCCTCCTCTGTCCCTCTCCCTCTCTCACTCTGTCTCTCTTTCCATTCCTCCGCGGCCGCTGAACGCGGTCTCCACCAGCGACTCCGCGCCCGCGCGCAGGCAGGGAAGCAGGAGGGGGGAGGTCGCCAGATTCGGATCTGCCGCCTTCCCCTGTGCCCATCGAGAAGACGAGAGGTTGGTTGAGCGGCGGGGCCACCCATCCGAAGAGGCTGCACATAATGGAGACGGTGTACGTTGTGAGTGACATTGTGCGCGGCGTGCCTTGTCTGTAGCGCTGTAGACGTAGTAGCGTTATGCGGTTTCAGTGCTGTGGTACATGGCATAAATTCCGAATCGTAACCGTCGGAGGTCATGTTCTAATCGTTGTCCTCCTGGGTGTGCACACATGCTCGCTTCGCGTGCCCGTGCATCATCATCTGTAGACAACGCTTGATGTGGAAATGCGTCGGGAAAATACATCAATGGACTTGTGAGATTCCCGTGTGTTCGGGTTCCCGCGCTGGTCAACCATGTCCACGACATATCTAATACCACCTACGAGACTGGGTCACTAATGCAGTTTCTAATTCATTTGCAAGGGCACACTCGTTGTAGCTCATGTAGTAGACTGTTACGTGCGCGCACAAAGCTGCAGCATAGGCGTAGGTCGTATGGCTGGTTAAAGAATTTCGCAACGACCGCCTTCATGAGTGTGCCGATAGTGAGCGCTCCGAAATTAATGCCTACGTGGACGTGATCCTCCTTCTCTAGGCCCCACGGCATGCAGTACTGGGACCGAACTGCAGCATCGTAAGGGCGCGTCTCCACCAGAGAAAGATTTTCGGTGGCGCGCCACTAACCATCTCGAAAGGGGGGTGGTGGGTCTTGTCCGTTGCATGGCCCGTGGGGGCGATGACCAATTTGAACTTCACATAGACCCACAATGAAACTATGGCCTTGTATGCGTCAACACGTTTGTCGTAAGAGGTCCTTGGCATGATGGCGCAATGCAGATTTGTCGCTGGTCTTGAAGTCGTACCTGTTCTCTCCATGTGATACCTGTGGAACAAGCTGCATCCCTTTGTTTTTTGCTAGTAAAAGCTGTTCACCAAGTGCATCGTCCTCAATGCACTTGGTACTTCGCAAAGTACATGTTGTATGTCGTGTGAAAATAGGCTGCGAGTGAGCCAGTGGCTGTGTGGAAGTTCCCTGTCCGCGAGATGAATGGCCTCGATGCAGGATCGGCCCTGGTTTCGTGTATTATGTGTGGCGAAGAGGTGTATGTATGCAGGTGGGTCGGTGTCCAAGAGTGCAATCACGGTTTAAGCGCGCTCGGGGTTCTCCTGCATCAGCAACGTTTGCGCGCGCGCGAAGGGAGCCGAACCCTACCGGTAATGCTCCGATGCGCGGGACAAGTTGCGAGGGGAGGAGTGCGGGAGTGATGTGGGTGTATTTTTTTCCCAGGCAGTCGAGCCGGGCGCGTGCTTGTAGCGCCCGGCGCCCTCGCCGTGGTGCGCGGCGGACTCGCTCGAGAAGGCTTGCGCTGCTGGCCCTGATGAATGGCGCCACGGTCGTCCTCGGAGTCCTCCTCGTTCTAGGTGTCCTTGTCGTCGTCGCCACCCTTGAAATGCGCGGGCGCGCCGTCGCAGTCCGTCGCGTCGTCACACCTGGCATCTTTGCTCTCCTGCAGCGCCGGGTCCATCGCGGCGCAGTGGATCTCGCACGTGGTGTCCATGATGCACGCGAGGTTGTAGTCGACGTCGCAGCCCTTCGCGTACTTCCACTTGCCCTCCTCGGTAACAACGCGATGTTCATCGCGCGTGCGGATGTAGTAGTGCCTCGTGCGTCAGGAGTGGGCCGTGGCGGGGGTTGGCCGTCTTCGGCGCGCGGTCGCACTGTGCGCAGTATTTGCGCGCGGCGGTCTGGCCCAAGTACACGCGATCGTACTTGTACTTCAGCTTGTAAAGCCTAGCGTGCAATTTGCCCATCAGTGGGCCGACGCCCATCTTGCCGGTCGTAGGGGCCTTTGCTGTGGAGAAGCCTGCGATGAACTCGGAATAGTTCGTGACGTTCGCCTCGGGCGGGTCGTCCTGCGTCATCGCGTGCGCACCTTTGGCGTGGTAGCAAGGAGTTCGCGTTCGGGTTGAGCGGCACGGGGTCGTAATTCTCGTCGTGCATGGCCTCCTTGCTTCGTCAGTCGTGTGCATGCCCTCTTGGTGACTCTTGGTGGTCTGCGCTGGCCTCGCAGAAGATCAACAAGTTGTGATGTTATTTTCCCACGTGGTGCTTCACAACGCATTCCACGTCGCGGCCTTTGTGTTGTAGTAATTTCTGTGGTTGACCGTGCGTGCCTTGGCGGGGCTCTGGATCCACCTGTTGTGGTCTCCCGCGTCGTGGTCGATGGCGGCCAGATCGGGACGGCGTCGAATATGCCCACCTCCATGTACGTGGTCTCGTGCAAAACGACGTTGACGACCTCGCGCGCGCAATTCTTCTGCAGCGCTGCCATCGCGCGGGAGCCCACGAGCAAACGGCTGGGAAGGCCCAGGGCCTGAATGGCAGGCAAGCCAGAACGACACCTACGGATCGCCCGTGTGTTTACTTGTGCGTGAGGTAGGGTGCTGCGAAGGCTTGTCCCGTGGAGCCCCGCGGTAGCGTTGCAGTGTATCCGCTGTTGTGGTAGGCGGGCTGGATGGGCAGATGATGGAGATGATCTTGCCGGTCGCGTGCTTGTCTCTGCGCGTTCTATCGGTTCAAGGAATGCCCGTAGCGGTTCTTGCTGTAGGAATGCCACTCTTGTGCGCAGTGCACGCAAATGTCTTGCCCTGGCCTGGCGAGCGGCCGCACCGCTGTAGCTCGATCTCCGTCCGCGCTGGCCGGTCTGGTCACGAGCTCTTTCCTTTGTGTCAGTGTTTCCGGGTTGACGCCGTCGTAGAATGAGTTGTGCGGTTCTGTGGCTAGCGGTAGAGTGTTGTTGCATCAAGCTTTTCCAGGCCATCTCTTGTGCCGTTTCTGTATTGGCGAAATGGTGCATCTCCTCTTGTCCACCACTGCCAATCCTCGCGGGTTGGCTGACCGTGCTCGTCTTGCTTAACGGAGGCAATCTGCGATGTTGTGTATTTCTTGTTGTAACCTGCTGCTCGGAAAGGCTGGCAAATTCAACTCCATGTCGTTCGCATGTCGCCTTTCCCGGCCGCTACGGCTAGGTCCGTCGCCGTTGTCCTGATGTGCAAACATACATGTTCGAGTACATCTATGAGCACGGACTTAGTGACGGCCAGGAAGTATTCCGTTTTCCGGAGGACGTTTTGACTGGTAAGTTTCCACATTCGGTGGCATATGCCAATTTGGTGGCCTCTTGCTGCCAGGTGTCCCGAAAGTCGAGACTGGGGTACTGCTGCGAGTCGAATGAAACTGTCCACACAAAATGGGGAGTCTCTGGGCTGGCCTCTGAAGGCAAGTTGTGCGTCTGAATAGTCGAATGAACCGCACCGCCTCCGTGGGCATCTCGTCCATGTTCAGTGTAACAGCTGTGTTCCAGTAGATTCCCCTGGCTACTTGACGTATGGACTCGTTTGTGGACATGAAGTGGTCGTTGACGTCAATGTCCCATTGGGGTAGCAGTGTGCTTCCAAAGGCTCTCCACTTCGTTTTGCGATGCCTGGGTCGCGTAACTCAGCTTTGTAATACCCGCAACCGTCGTGTGTTTGGCGGGTTGCGTAGATCTTCCCATCGAAACCGGCCGTGGTCGGCAAGTGGTTCTCCTTGACCGCCATCCTGTCGTAACCCACCTGGATTGCACCATCTACCGCATACTTGGATGGTTGTTTTGGTATACTGATGTAATATATCCTGTGGCGGGGGCCCTCCTTCGCAACTGCCCCTGTGTTGCCTTCTTCGTGTGGTAGCAACGTGCTCACCGCGTACATGTTCGTCTACGCAAACATATGATATTTGTCCAACGCAAATCTGGAGGGAGAAGAAAGAACAGAACGGACAACAACACGACATAACACACGCACAACAATCCCTAATGCATTGCGTCTCGGCGCGCATGTGATGTATGACTGTTCCGTGTTCGTTTTCCTCTTCAGCTCAACCTTTGTCCGCAATCCAACGGGACGTCAGGCTGCCAACACTGCGTGTGCTGTTTAACACTAGGGCGTTGGGCTCCCATTCGTAGACTGATTCAGTGGGCTGTTGCCAGTAGGTCTGCCTTGTGGCTGGCTGGGTATGAATGTGTTGCGTGGTCGACCATGATGATGTGCTTGAAGTGCGGGGCGCCCAGCAGTAAGATCAAAAATCGGTGTGTCTGCAACTGTGTCTTCATGACTCCTCCTCCTCCTCCTCCTTTTAGTATCCTCCTCCTCCTCCTCTTCTCATCCCCCCCTCTGCAGGGAGCACAAGGATGACCGAGCACGGCGGTGAACACACCTTGGGCGGGACTGCTCAGCGGGGCTTAGACCCCAGAGTCCGCAGCCAACCCTCGTAATCCAAAAGAGAGGCTGACGAGAATCTGCCGCTAAGGTGCAAAGCACTTGCGTCCGTGACGGCCTGCTCCTACAGTCATCGTGCTCACAGAAGGAATGCTTGGTAAAGAACGAAAAGGCTGTTCTGGCCACGGCGAGCCTCGGCCACGTGCTGGACTTCCGACCCAAGCCTAAAGAACGGCCCGAAAAACAGCCAATTCTTGGCCCAAAATGGTCCTCCGTTCCGCGTCTTGACTGTACGGCCAGACCTGGGACAGAACAACATCCTTCAAGAACATGAGATCCTACCCGGCCAAACTGAAGAATACTCGCGGGCACCCTCCCCCAGGATGCACAAGACCATTCAACAAACACGAAGAGCATTAGGGTGCTCCCCCCGGACCGACCTCAATCTTATCAGAGTGAGAGGCCGAACGGTCATTCACTGTCCCTGGGTGCGTGGCTGAATAAGAAATTCGTGGTGAGAATTCTGCTTATTGCGTCCTCCCACCCTCGACCCACCCGCGACCCACCCCGCGATCCACCCCGCGACCCACCCCGCGACCCACCCCGCGACCCACCCCGCGACCCTCCCGCGACTCAACCCGCGACCCAACCCGCGACCCACCCCGCGACCCACCCGCGACCCACCCGCGACCCACCCGCGACCCACCCCGCGACCCACCCTGCGACCCATCCGCGACTCACCCGCGACCCACCCCGCGACCCACCCGCGACCCACCCCGCGACCCACCCTCAAGGGAGGAAAAACCACCCAGACCCGACAATTGACGTTTTTAAAACGGCCCTGGGCGTTGACTAAACATCCCTGCCCTGTTCGATTCGTCCCTTGTGTGCGTTTACTAAACGGCTTCGCATGTCGGGGTGATTATTATGGGGTGGATTTTCTGCCCTCTACACCCGCGACCCACCCGCGACCTACCCACGTTGGTGTAACGAAAAAGATCGGCGCCTGCGGCGGGCTCGTTGCACAATTTGAGAAACTTGGGCACCTGCGGGGGGCTTCTCCCGAGTCCCGCAAACTGCCGACGTAACCGCCCCCTCACTCTTACCCGCAGCTGCGGGGTGCTACGTACCTTGGGCCGGCCGTATTCCGACCATCGCGGGGATGGTCCTCGTGCGCCTCATCACCGTCCTCGGCGCCCTCCTCGCCCGCTGTCCTCCTGCTGGCTGTGCGACGGCCCCCGCCTGCCTTCTCCTCCTTCTTGACTGCCCGCATTCCCCTGCCCCGTCGTCTCTCCACTGCCGCTGCTGCTGCACGCCCTCCTGCTCGGATGTCCCCCCTCCGCAGCTTCCGTCCTAGCCGCCCTCGTCGTCGCCCCCCTCCCCTCCCCCCCCCAACCCACTCCCCTTCCCAACTCTCTTCCTCCCCCGTTGCGTCCCTGCTCCTCGTCCCCCTTCGCTCCCCAACCTCCGTCGCTGCCCCCCTCCTCCCTCGCCTGCTCCTGCTCCTGCTCCGCCCTGCCTTTCTCCTCCCCCCCCCCCTCTCTTGCCCTCCTCCTCCGCCCTGCCCTGCACCAGCGAGAAGCCCCCCTCTCCCCTGCGACCCCTGCCCCTGGCAGACCCGGCGGGCTGAGCCGAGGCAAGGGGCACAGCACGGCGGAACCACAGACGCGCGAAGGTCCGCGCGGACGTCTGGGAACCGCGCCGGCCCCCCTTCCCTGGCGCGCGGAGGCGCCGCCAGGGGGTCCAGCGCCGATCCAAGAAATCCGCACGGAGCTCCGAAAGCTTCTGCTCATGCAGTTCCTCTTCACTGGCTGATGGCAGCTGGCTGAGCCCCCAAACGCCTGCCTCCGAACCAGAGGATGTGACCGCGGTCGTCCGGCGCGCCGTCTGGAAGGCCTTGCTGCTCCCCAGCAGAGCGGGGGCCCCGAGGGCTGCGGATCGCCCGCCACCCGCTGGGAGGGCAGAGCTCGCCTCGCGAACAAACTCACGACGGGGGGCCTTTGGCTATTCTCAGCCTGTTGGGGTCCTCGCGGGGGCCCGGGACTGATACAAACAACTCAAGACGAAACGTGGGTCCTGGGGAACGGGTCGAGACCTGTGGGCGTCCGCGTGATGAAATAATCATGAGATCGAGGGTTTGGGAGGCTGTGTCAACAGGCATGTGGTCGAACGAGTGCACCTGGTTAGACGCGCGACCTCCCCCATTCGCACAGCGGACAGAGAGATACCGCGATACTAATGTCTCCCGACCGTGCAAGCGCGCTGTTGGTCACTGCTGCCACGTAGCAGAACGATGAGCACGAAACAATCGTGACAACTGACAAGTGCGATGTAACTGGCGAACTGGCGCCTGAAGCAACCCCATCAACTTCATGAAAAAGTGTTTTTTCCCTGCGCAACCTGCACACCTGCTGGCTGACCCCGACCATCGCCTTTGGATGGGCTGGGCACTGCCCGAGTCTTGGATGCTGAATGACAGCGGGAAAATGCCAACATGCATAGCAGTGGCAAGTCCTGCCAATAAATGGTCGAAATAGTTGTTGCTGGGCACAAAGAACACAGGCGCAGATCAGCTATACTGAGATCTGCCAACCAACGTGCAAACATGCAACGCGCAACGCGGGTATAAGAAAACCGACAACGTGTACCGATACCGCTACTCCCTGGATCTCTCCTGGGGTGCGCTCTGACCAGAATTTCGCGGAGAATCCAGTCGTGGCGACGAGGGCTCTCCAGGACAAGCAGCGGTACCGGTAAAGTTGGAACAGGCACATAATGGTACGCTGCACAACCACGAGACACTCCGCGGGCAAAAACTAAAAAATGAGGTCACCGAAGGCCCTTTCGGCGAATCGCCCAACCCAAACTGCCTAGAATATCGAGGACGCGATGGTGAACACGGGAAAGATGGCCTGGAACCTCAGTCTTAACGGAAAGAACGAACAGAACTGTCAAACTGAAGAATTCTTGAGCAATGATCGAACTAAACAATGTGTTTCCGTGTTCGTTTTCCTCCGTTCTGTCGTTTCTCTGCCTTTGCTGCGAAACGGAAACAACAAAGAAAACGGTCTACGCAATCACCGAAACAACGTTCAGCTCGAGCCCTGCTCTCGGGGGCAGCCTTCCCAAAGGTTGCCCAATGACAAGCGAAGACCCTTCGGCGCCCTCCACAAACCGCACGTGCTCTCACGCCTCGCTCCGACCGTATCTTCTCCTCCTCCCAAGCTAGCCTCGGTCGCCCAGGACGGCCCTCAAGGCGAAACGGAACGCTTGGCTGTGCGGGCCCCGCTCTGCTCCGCAGAACGTGCGCCCGCCGCACCACGGCGCCGCGGCGTCCTCCCCGCGCCAGCAGCCGAGCGGCTCCGCCTCCGACCGCAAGCACAGCTTGTTCACCACGCTCGGCGGGCCCGCCCGCGTCTGCGGCCTCGACCGCTCCTGCCGGGCCCGCAGCTCCCGCAGGTGGGCGTCCGCCTCCTCGGCCCTGCCCAGCTCCTGCAAGACAGCCGCGGCGACAAGGACACTGGCGACGAGGACGGCGGCGACGAGGACAGCGACGGCGACGACGACGACCACGACGGGGGCGACGACGGCGACGACCACGACGGGGGCGACGACGGCGGCGACGACGGTGGCGACGAATTCAACGTCAACGCTAGCACTGACGAGGGCGGTGGCGACGACGGCGACGGCGGCGAGGGGCGCTGTCCTGCAACACCGCAGCCAGGTTGCCCAGGGACGTGAGGGTATCCGGATGGTCGGTCCCCAGGCTCTCCTCGCGGGCCTGGTAGGCGACCCTGCACAGGGGCAGCGCCTGATCCTTCGGAGGAGGAAGAAATACCGATACTGCTGCTCGTCCTGGAGAGCCCTCGTCGCCACGGCTGGAGTCTCCGCGAAATTCTGGGGAGCAGCTGCAATGATCGGTCATTACCTTTGGTCCCGTTACTCCTCGAGCTTGCCCTGCATCTGCATGATCACGGCCAAGTTGCTGAGGGCCGTCAGGGTTTCTGGGTGCGTGGGCCCATGCAGCCTCTCGGAGGCAACGAAGGCCTGGAGACATAGCGGCTCCGCCTCCTCGAACCTCGGAGCAGGGCGACTTGAGACAGCGGCAACACAAAATCGGTCTCCAGACTTCTCCTCTCCTGGGGTCCAACGCACCATTTCTCCGAGCTGCGTCCAGCCGCCGTGGCAACGAGGGGGCCCCCTGAAGGCCAGCTGCTGGTGTCGCAACACACCCTCCTCTGAGAACCGCTCCATCTCTGTAAGGAGCGCCGCGTAGTTGGTGCGGGAGATGAGCGTGTCGGCGTGGTCGGGCCCCAGGGCGCTCTCCTTCGCGCTCAGGGCGAGCTGGCACACGGCCGCGGCTTCCTCCAGCCGCCGCGTCTCCTGCAGCAACGCGGCCAGGTTGCTGATGGCGCTCAGCGTCAGGGCGTGCATGGGCCCCAAAGTCCTCTCCCGTGCCTCGAGCACAGACCGGCAGAGCAGCTCGGCCTCGTCGAACCTCTCCAATTTGTGCAGCAGCACGGCGCGGTTGCTGCGGCAGGTCAGCGTGTGCGGATCGTCGGGCCCGAGCACCTCCTCATAGGCCTGCAGCGCGCCGCAGCTGACGGATTCGGCATCCTGGAGCCTGCCCAGCTTCTCCAGCAGCACCGCCAGGTTGCTGAGGGAACTCAGCGTCAAGGGGTGCCTGGCTGGAGGCGAGCGCACAAGGGGGTGGCGCGGGGAGGGGGCGGCCTTCTAAGGGGGCCAGGGGGGTTCTCATAAGAAAGCAGGGGCTCTCTTGGACGGGCCTGGGGGCTTCCAGGCAGGCGTCAACAAACCTGGAGGGCTTCTGACACGCCCCTTGCCTTTTCAGAAGCTCCCGCTACGTCTGCTACCCCCGCCGACGCTATCAATTTTTCGCACCGTAGACCCTCAGACAACTCGACCCATTCCACGGCACAGGCTTTTCATCCCGAGTCGTTGCTTGACCCTAGAAGCCGAACATATCCAAAGACCCCCCGTCGTGATCTTCTTTACGAGGCCAGACGGGTCTCTGGTTCCAAGGCCGCCCCCCTCGCGCTGCCCCCTTGGTTGTGGCGTGCCGCCAGCCACTGACCGCTCTCACGGGAGTAGCGCTTCGCCCCAGATCCACATTTCCTGGTCCCGCGGCCCGATGGCCGGCCCCGGGCGCCCAAACCCGAAGGGAAACGCCAGGATCGACACAGCATCATTCTCCTCGGCGCCCTCTGAGAGGACCGCCCCCCTCGTGTCTGCCCCCGTGGTCGTGGCGCGCCGCCCGCCTCTTCGGGGACGCGCAACAACCCGGGCTGATTAGCACACACACACACACACACACACACACACACACACACACACACACACACACACACACACACACACACACACACACACACACACACACACACACACACACACACACACACACACACACACACACACACACACACACACACACACACACACACACACACACACACACACACACACACACACACACACACACACACAACACACACACACACACACACACACACACACACACACACACACACACACACACACACACACACACACACGGGGCGGCCGCTCAGGGCAGCCACCGTGCTACCATCAGGAACCCTGGATGAGGCACGGAGGGGGCTTCTCTGGCCACGGCGAGCCTCGGCCACGAACCCGATCCCCGACCCCAGCCTCAGGGACGGCCCGAAGGGCAGAAACCCCTGCTCCGGAGCCCAAAGTGGTCCCCATCACAGCGTCTCGACTGCACGGCCGGACCTGGGACAGAAGAGCAGCCTCCCAGAACACGAGGCCCTCCGCCTGCCAAATGGAAGAGCACTCGAGGGTGCCCTCCCCCTCAGAAGCACAGGCACGTGCGTGCTGTGCCGCGGGCGTGACGTGCCATGGCCGCGTGCCGTGCCATACGCGCGCCCGTGCCGTGGGTGTGCCGTGCCGTGCGCGTGCGCGTGCGGTGCGCGTGCCCGTGCCGTGCCCGCACGCCGTGCCGTGCCCGGTCTTCAGACACCAGACGAGCGCGTTCCACTGCTCGCAAAGCGACTGCTCGCAAGTGGCCTGGATCCGCTGGGGGGGGATCGACGAGAAATTACGTCGAATCAGTCATGTGTTTTTTTGGGCGTTTGCGAGTAGGCACTTTGCGAGTAGTGGAACGCGCTCGGTGAGACACTGTGCGTCTTCTCATGCAGCGTTGCTCGTTGGGGTCTCTGTGCCGGTGTCATTCTTGAGCGATGCACAGCCCCAGAGGTCCCGACCACAAGAACATGCAGCAGACTCGGAGGACACTGAATTGGGGCACTCCCCGAACCGACCCCGATCTTGTACCTCGGTCCGACCGCACCTCCCGAGCCTGGGAGGAACGGCAAGGTCGGCTCCACGTGGCTCCCAACCCCCGGTTGGTCGAAGGGCATCGGAGAGAAACAAACTCTACACCGACGATTTATTCAGGCCCCGCGCTAACACTTGCATCGTTCCCCCGGGACAATGAAAAAAACGAGTATACACCACACCACCCCGACGTTGTCCCAGACCCTCAAAAAGTCCTGGGGTTGAAGAACAGCCTGCCACTGGTTTATGTATATATTCCAGTTTCTGGCACCGGAGGGGATTGGCTGACCACCCTTCCCTGACATCCGACGTCCGACGTCGCGAAAAACCTGCGACACCGCAAACAATCGCGTATGGCTCCCTCGACCCCACCACTCTGCTGCAATTTTCGAGCCGGATCCATCGGTGATGGCCCCGGGGCCCAGGTCGCCCGCGGGGAGGAGATTGGGACGCCAGGACCTCAGGGGACCCCCGTTGTTCGAGCTGACCCCCCATCAGGTGCGGCGCTGGCCCGTCTCGGAAACAGAGCCCCTCGACGATCTGCTTCCGCAGTGGCTCTCGATTCCACCTGGCGTTCCTACAGAACGCGAACTGGTGCTCAGATCCTGTCACAACTCAGCATGTGGCTGAAAATCCTGCGCCGAGCGGCGCAGAGAAGGGTCGGCTGTGGACAAAAACCTCCCTTTCGTAAACCTCCCCTTCGTGAAAAGGGCCTGGGAGATCGGGCCGCGCCGCCCTCTCGCGAACCGAAAAAACGGCCAATTCCTTAAAATCGACGCGTCAAGGTAGGAAGTCTGCCCACCTCCAACAGAGAGCGTCGGTCTGTCTCCGAGGGCCGCCCCAGACCTGCGATGTCCTCATTTTTCCAGAGCGCTGGCCCCTGGAAGCGCCGACCCTTGCCGCCCAGGGACCGGCTCTGCACCCCGAGCAATCTCTTGACGGTCCCGGGGCCGGCGAGGGGCCCAAGGCGAACAAAACTACGAAGCGCCTCCGCCCTGACCGTCTCGGGACTGCAGCATGTCTGGGAGGGGGGGACCCCCGTTGTCAGCGATGGCCTCCGGGATCCACCGACCTGGATCAGTGTGCTCGGGCTCTGCATGCTTCTGCCAGGTCCTGCAGGATCCTGCGCGCTAGCCCTGGTCGATGCACCTCTGGCCCTGCAGGATCGTGCAGGATCTGGCGCTCAGGCTGACCCCCGCTTGCATGGACCCCCGCCTAGCTCGGAAGACCCCCGTTGCGTTAAGTCGGGCACCCCTCTACAGGAGGAATATTCAGAATTCGCCAAAAAATAAGCTGGGGACGATCTGCGAAAAAATATAGGCTGGGGACGATATGTTGAATACTTGTGGTGCCATTTGGGGGTAGTTTTTTTGAGCATCTTTATTCGTCGTCCAAAATCCCCCCTGTAGGGGGACGCGCCCGACCTGACCGTTGCGCAAAACAGGGCTAGGATCGCGATAAATCGCTCCAGAGCGTTCCGGAGCGCTCTCAGAGCGCTCCGGAACGCCCTGGAACGGCCGCGGCGCCCGACACATCCTCCAAACCCGATCCGATTCTCAGAGATTTCGAGCTATCCCGATCCGATTTTGTCCCGATCGTAGCGTCGTTTGATTGCGTGCGCCGCGGGCCTGTCTCCGAGCGCAGCTCTCCGGCCCTCCAGCGTGCGGCGCGCCAGCGGCTCCGCCTCGGCGTGCCTCCCCGTGGCCTGCAGCAGGCCGCCCAGGCGCGCGGCGGCGCCCAGGGTCGCGGGGTGCGCGGCGCCGAGGACCTCCTCTCTGGCCTCGGAGGAGGAGGATCGAGGAGGACGGAGGAAGAGGATCGAGGAGGAGGACGGAGGAGGAGGATCGAGGAGGACGGAGGAGGAGGAGGAGTTTTTCCCCCCCCCACCGCAGGCGCACACACCAATTCCATGTGTCAAGTCCGTTCTAAACATCTCAGCGAGTACTGGGCACCGTGCTATCAGTCATGCAAAGGAAGGGGGGGGAGCAGCAGCAGAGGCAGGGCAAAGAGAAGCGGCGGCGGGTACTCTGCTCCGAGTGCACAGGACCCCTGGCGGGCGCGCGCCCCCCCAAGGCACGCCGTCCAACAGGGGATCACGCACTCGAGCATCCGTCCCATGCCACACTCACTCCTCGGCTGACCGAGGGCCCAACCAACAGCGCAGCAGGCAGAAGCAGACAAAAAGGGGCGCGCCCCAAAACGAGAACCCAACGCGCAAACCGAGGGAATACCTGACAGCTGGCCTCCACAGTGCCACGAACCTCGTCGGGGACCTGAGGGCGAGAGGGGAACGCTCCCTCGCGCGGGGCGGCAGCCGGGGTGCCTCGAACTTCGTCGGGGACCTGGGGGCGGCGGCAGGGCGCGGAGGAGGGGGGGGGACCTCCTCCGCGCCAGACGCAACGGGTGTCTGGATGCGCCACGGCTTGGCGTCGCGGGGAGGCCTGCCTACCCTACCGACGCGACGATCGATCAGCGGCCGAGCGAACCAGACCGCCCGCCCGTCCGAGAACCAGAAGCTCACGGACAGCTAGAGAGGCGGGCAGGCAAAAGAGGCGGGGCGGCCGCGGGGCGGGCGGCGGAGGGAAGCTGGGGGGCGGCGGCGCGGCAAGAGAAGCGCTCTCTCACGCGTGCCGCCCTACCCAACTGTCAGCATGCCTCTCCCAAAAGAACGCCCGAAGCTGCACCTCACCATCTTCACCTGCAAGCGGAGAGGGCCGCAAAGAGCACTGGCAAGCGCCCACAACCCAGGCGACAACACGGGGCCCTGAATTAACCAAGAGACGAAACAGAGCGGAGGGAAGGCACAACAGAAAGTGAAACCTCGGAAAACCAGTCAGCCATCCCGAGAGACCCACCAGGGTCACATCAAACTCTGACAGCATCATGCATGGACCTATACCTAGGGGGCCACAGGGAAAAGGGGGGGACAAATCAAAGGGGGGACACGGCCAACTCAGGAGAGGAGGGGCGCGGCAGGAGGAGCAGGGGGGGCAGGGGGAGGGGCGGCAGCAGCAGCATTCGACCGCAGCACACGTAGCGCCTCGTTAAGCCTGGGGTGCCGACGGGACAACTGCCGAAGCCTGGCTTTACTTAGAAAATCCCCTGGCTGGATCGAGCCAGTCCTGCGAGCGTTATGCGCGGCCAGAAAGCAATCAATTAAGGCACGCCCCACTAGGTCGCGTGACCGCCCCCACTGTGGCCCCAGACAACAGAGAGTGAGGAGCCAATCCTCACCCGTTAGAGCCGCGGTCCAAGACCTCAGAAGTCCACCGCGGGGGGATATGTCAATCAACTCAGCCTTCAACTTGGGGCACGCGCGATAATGCCTCAGGTCGTCGTCGGCCGCATCCAGAGGACACCCGAACGCACAGCCCACCACCGTGGTATGCAGACGACTAGAGGTACAGACTCCTCGGCAGAGCACTCTAAGGACCCCCGTGACGAGGTGCATCGCGCTGTCCTTCTCAACTTTACGCATCCTCTGGGCAAGCACCTGAAAGTCAGCTACCGTAAAACGGTCGGGACCCACCCACTTGGACACCCTCTGAACCATAGTGCGGAGGGGAACAGTGGGGTCACGGAGCCCTCTGAGCTTGCGCATCGCTTTCTTCTGAAGGGATTTCTTGGGGATGGGTTCAAGGGTCGGGATCGTGAAATTGCCTACTTCATTCACCGTAGTCCTGATCCAGGAGGACTTCCACCAGGGCCAGCTCAGGCGAGCAGGAATGAAGTTATCGTCATCCAGGGAAACCGTCAAAGACTCCATCTCATACTGGACAGCATCAATACTGGAGCAAGACATCAACACCCGAAACTTGATAGCCTTCGAAAAACAATCGATGTCCAAGCATTCTAAAGAGGCCCCCAGCGCTCGCATGCCCGTCAGCATCTCCCTCGAGAAGGCATGGCGGGGACCAGCAGTAATCACCTGTAGGGCCTCATTATACGCTTTCCGAAGAGCCGTAGTCACTGGGCAGAGTTGTAACTGGTACGCCAAAATCGACATGCAGTGCGAGTGAAAAAGGCGAATGGTCTGAGGAAGCCCCAGCCCAAGCCCACGAAGCCTCCGAACCGTCATCCAGAACTTGGGGATGGTGTTGCTCCATACTTTGTCCAAAGCCCCAGGCCCGAGCCAGAATCCCAGGTATAAAACAGCGCGAACAAACCCGATGCGGTGGTACTCACTCCCCTTGGCTCGAAGGTGGGCAACTAATCTATCAGGATCAAGCGAGCCAATCACCAATACCTTACATTTGGGAATGTTCAACCCAAGTCCCACCGCATGTTCCAACTTACGAAGGAGCAAGAGCGTCGGTTGGAGGTCAGTCAGGATGTTGGGAAGGCAGAAAGAGAGATCATCAGCGTAGGCTCTAATCCGAGGGACATGGTCAGTGAGCTTGGCCCTCATCCAACGCAATACAGGGTCTAGCGCATAAGCGAAGAGAAGCATCATAGCATGATCACCTTGCCGCGCCCCACGCCCCACCGAAAACTCCATACCAGTAGTCCCAGGGAAGTTGATTACAGCCGCACAGTCACGGTACAACTCGCGATAAAAACCACAAGCTTCACCAGGAACACCCATAGCCTCCAAGACCGCCAAGATCCAGGAGACGATCAGAGAAGGGAACGCAGCCTTAAAGTCCGTGAAGAGAATTCCCGAGCGACCCCCACCAGTAAGCATCTGACGAAGACCCCACCATTCAATCTCAACCGCGTTGTCAAGGAGCCCACGTCGCGCGACCCCCCCACGCTGGATCGGGTCGATCACTGCCGGAGCAGCCCGCTGGAGGCCGATGGAGAACGCGTCACTCAGGAGCTTCACATCGGTATTCGCTAGCGTGAGTGGGCGAGTCTTATCAGGCGACCGAACAAGGACAGCGGGGTTCTCGTCGTCTTTGAAGTCTTTGGGCAGAAAACACATCCTCCCTCGACGCATGCACGCCGAAACAGTACCCCCAGACGCCTGATGCATCTCCTCATAAACAGCGAATAAAACATCAACGCCCCCCCCCCCCCCCCCCAGCTTTCCAGCGCCCATGCGGAATGCCATCCTCCCCAGGGGCAGAGTGATGCTTATATCGGGCTCACCCAATAAAATCGTCGACATTCAACTTCCAATGCGAAGGGTCCAACTGGATCGGCTGGGCATGGACGAGGATTTCAGGCCCTAAAGTCCGATCAGGTTCCTTGGCAGCAAAAACCGTCTGCCTATGGTCCCTAAGGGCCTCAGCAGAGGCCGTCGGGGAGGGGCGCGCCTGCCCTGAATTGTCCAGGACCCCAGAGAGCCCGTGCCGCCGACGCATCTTAGACCAGGCCCGACGGAGGTGTTGCAAGCGGGCCATTGCCTTAGCCTTAAACTTCTCGCCATCCCCCCGCCCGTCCATCGCCCGTTCCTCCGATTCATACCAAGCATCTTTCAGAGACTGCACCGGAGCACCCAGGCCTGCTATATCCAAGCATCTCTCACGGTCTGGATCAAAGTACTGAAGCAACCGAGGATGCGCGCGGATCGCACGCGCGCGCTGGTCGAACCTGCTCATGCGCCACCCACGGAAAGCCATCATAGCAAAGTGGAGCTTCTCACAATTCTCTTTCGGGGGCTTCGTCCGAAGCCGAGCCTTGAACAGAGGGGCCATCTGCCGGAAAATCTCCTTCACCCGAGCCGATTTCTCCCGAAGGGGTCAAATCCTGGTCGATTTCCACCATGGCGCTGGCACACATCTCATGGTAAACACAATGACGGGAAATCCACTTAGAAATCTGGGCGGGCAACGCTGATGGCATTCTCAGAGCGACAGTGGCCGCAACAGGGATATGGTCGGACGAGGCGACGGTCTTCACGGCATGTCCCAGGGTATTTACCGTCACCGCCAAGTCATTCAAGACGGGGGCAGAGGGAGAAGTGTAGATGCGGTCCAGACGGGCAACCCCACGGACTTCTCCCTGGAACACGTCACGCCGTGTCGGATCTGGTTGGAACAGCTCAGCCCAAGACCCACAAATAGACTGAAATGCATCAGTGTGTTCCCTATCCTCTGCTAGCCGCGTGCCGTCAGTACGAAACTGCCCCTCCTCCACCTCCATAAAGTGCCAATCCCCTGCAACCAAGCACGTAGTGTGCGCAGCCAAAGGAAGGAACGCCTGAATCACACACAGGTACCTGCGATACATCGCAACAGGATCCGAAGTATTCGGCATGTGAACATTGACAATCACTAGACCCCGCGACGTCCCTTCAGGTGCGAGGCGAGAACTCGGCCAGCAATCAAAGGGAACGGAGTGATCGATTCGAACTGCGAAGCCAGCTTACTCGATATAACTGTAACCACACCGCCCCCCAGCCCTCGGATCGATCATCGAATGGTGAACAATTGCACTGCGACAACGGTCATCACGCTGTAACATCTCCACATCAGACACTGTGCCATGAGTCTCCTGTAAACACACGGCGTCGAACCTGCCAACAAGACCATGCATCTGCTTATACCGCTGAGCTGCCAGTGGAGACGAAGTAGAGTACGATGGGAAGAGAGCACTTGTATTTCAGGAGCACAAGGTAAGCGCAGAAGAGGAGGCAAACACCCCATTCGCTCCAGAGGACGGGTCACCAGGGGAAAACGGTCCGCCTGAATTCAAATTAAAACACTGGTTGGCTGACTGAGCACTGTCCTGGCTTGTCGGCGCACGGGTCCGATGGTTGCCCCCGACAGGCCCCGCATCCCAGGGAGGGCCCGAACCGCCAGGGACCCGGCAAAAATGGCCAGGCAGCGCACGAGGAGTCCCGAGGCAGGGTGCTCCAGGACAACTGTGGGCCTCACACAAAGGGCCGAATCTGATCAAAAAGGGTCGCACTGCAGCCAGCGTGCTCACCTACTCCGAACGTTCCGAGGGCCCCAAGAATCAGAACGAGTTCAGGGCGACCGCACTCAAGGGCCGTGACCTTCGCAAGAATTACTGGGTGAGTTGCCGTGATGAGACCGTATATCTGACCGCCGAGACCGTTGCTGCCCACCTGGAAACCTTTCTCCCCCAAGACCTTCCCGATGATCGCACGAGTCTGTCCCAGGTAGTAGAACAACTTACGGCTAGCGGGGGGCAGGTCACGACGCGCGCGGAGCTCCCAGCCCTGGTTATCAATCGGGTTCCGGTATACAGTCTTACCAATGGTCTGGCTCTTACCGAAGAACGCCGTGCACGACAGAGTACTGGGGAAGTCAAGAATCACCTTCCGCGCGAGGGAGTATGCTCGAACGATCGGCCCTTCACCAGCTGGACTACACGCAGCAACAATAGGGGCCACCGCTCCCTTGAGAGACGCTTCCAGCAGGGGCTTCCCAAAACCTAGAACAATAAGACGAGTAGCGCTGGCTTGGTCGGGGCCCGACGTCCTCAACATCTTCCGGCGCCCTCCATCCCCATCACCTCCCACGAGCTCGAACTCCGAATCGGCACGAGTCGACGAACCTGCCGAGAGCTTCTGCTGTAACTCATGCATCTGAACATCGATCTTAGCCACTACTGCAGCCAACTTCGCATCTGTGTCAACCGAGACCTGGTGGATCGCTGCGTCCTGGGATTTCTTTATCTCTGCCCAACGAGCCTCCGAGCGACGATTCATCTCCGCGAACTCCTCCTGCATTCGATCAAAGTTGGTCCCCATCACTGTCATCTGCTGGCGAAACAACTCAAATTCTGCTGTGTGCGAGGTAAGCCCTTCTTTCACAATCGCCGTCAGGGCGCTGACCTGCATGGACACCTCCGACTGTACCTCGGGCACGGGCGGCGGCGCACTCCCTCCACCGGCCCCCGCAGGGGCAAGAGAGGGAGACTGTCCAGGCATGCCCTTCACGGAGCCTGCCACACGAGCGGCCTCAGCCATGGCTGGAGTGCGAGAGACAGAGGGCGGGCGGCCGACGGCCGAGGCGCACCCGGCTCGAGGGAGAGGGAACAGGAAGACCCGAGGAGCGGGTCGGGGGGAGCCAGGCCGAGCGGGTCACGCAGACCACCCTGAGCCGATACGGCTTGAGCCAAATTGGCTTGAGCCAAAATGGCTACGGACGGAGGAGGAGGAGGAGGATGAGGATGAGGATGAGGATGAGGATGAGGAGGAGGAGGAGGAGGAGGAGGAGGAGGAGGATCGGGGATGTGGGGGGAAGCTTGAAGATCGAGGGTTTAAGGAGAACAAAACAACAAAAAACATAAGCTGGAGGTCCGCGCATACCTTCGAATGTGTATGTTCGTGCCGGTTTTGTCCGTCTTCGATGGCCTCCAGTGCCCTGCGGCAGATCTCCTCGGCCTTTTCGCACTCGCCGCAGTCGTGGAGAAACGATGCCAGGCCGTCCATGCAGGCGACCGTCTCTGGGTGCCTGGGGCCCAGCTCCGCGATCCTTGTCACCAGCGCCTGCTCGGAGAGCTGCCTCGCCTCCTCGCACCTCCAAAGGAAGAACCGACTGCATAAGCATAAACTCTCCATAAGACGCGCAGATTTTCTGGATCGGCGCTGGAGCACCCTCCCTGACGCGCTGAGGCGCCGCAGGGGACGTCCAGCGCCGATCCACGAACTCCGCGCGGACCTCGGGAAGTGCGTGTCTGTGCAGATGTCTCTTCTTCGCACCTCCCCGTCTGCGCGAGCAGCGCTGCGTGGCGGTCCACGGCGGCCAACGCCTCCCGGTGCGCAGCGCCCAGCCTCCGCGACGTCAGCACGGCCTGCTCCAGCAGCTCCAGGGCCTCCCCGGGCCTCCCCGCCCTCTTCGGCGGCGCGCACAAAGGGGTGGAGGGAGGGGGGCAGGCTTCTCAGAACGAGGCTGCTCCTCGGAGGGCGCCGGCCCAGCATCTTCTGACACAGCCCGCTCCCTCTGAGAAGCAGGGGTGCTTCTATGAATAGGGGGAAAACACACCTACCTCGCTTTTGACCACCCTCGCTTCCAAGAGATACCAAACGACGCCAAATTGCAGCCTGTGTTGGTCAGGCCGCTTGACGAGGAGGCGCGTGGTGTGGCTTGGTTTTGTCTGGAAGCGAAAGCGGGGTAGGTAATTCACGCTCTGAATGAAGCCCTCCCCCCTTCCGCCCCCGTCCCCCCTCTGCGCGCGGCTGACCTCTGCAGCAGCAGCGCCAGCCGCCCGCCCACCGCCAGCGCCTCCGGATGCGCGGGTCCCTGCTGGGACGCACAAGGACCTGCCTGCACAGAGTGTCCTCCTCGGCGGCGCCCGTCCAAGCCGAGCATCAAGCACAAACAGTAGATTGTTGCCGAAAGAATGCCCAGGATGGCCCTCCAGCCCAAGGACCCCCGAGACCGCCAGCGGGCGCCCAAAAGCTCCCGAGGCTCCAGATAGGCAAACAAAAAGCCCCCAGAGCCTGGAGGCCCCAAGCGGTCCCCTCGAGAGGCCTCGGCCGTGGATTTCTTTCCTCTCCCGGGGGTCGGCGGAACGGCGGCATGGCCACAAAACGCCCGCCGCCGAGCACACACTATCAGATTCCGCGTCACCCCTGTCGGGCGTTGGCAGAGCTGGGCTCAAGTGGGACCTGGTCCAGTGATGTGTACCGGGGGGGGCGCCCCCCGGGCCCCGTTCCACTAACCCGAACTGCCGTCACCCGAAAAAAAAACACCAGCTACGGCAGACCTGGTTTAGTGATTCTGGCCAATTTGAAGGCTCCGGGGCCCTACTACTATTCGGGTCCCCTTACCTGGAGTCCTGGCTATACCCGACCCTGGGGGGGAGGGGTGGGGGGGCGACGCGCTCATGGAATGACCCCCTTTCATGGCGCTGTTGGACGCCGTTGCTAGGTCTTGGGCGCTGTTCGAGCGCTCTTCGGCGCTATACTTGGGGCAACTTTGCGATATTGCTTCGGTGCTATTCACCGGTCCGCATTCTGTTCAAAACGAGCGGGAACATAGTGTGTGCGTGTGTGTATATATATATATATATATATATATATATATATATGTTTGGGTGATTCCGACCTGCGTCCGCTCGCAGGTCTGCAGCGTCCGCCGCAGCAGCGCCTCTGATGGGCACTCTTCGGGGGGGATAGGTTCAGGGGGGATGCATCAATCCCCAATCGCCCACTGATCGCCGATAGGGGCCCCCGAGCCCAACCCCGCCCAGGAAGGCGCGGACTTGCTACATGGATCCTATCGCCGATCCAGATTCCCACCCCTGAGCCGGCCCACTTGGTGGTTTTCGGGTCACAACTCGGGCCCCCGGCGGCCGTTCGGGACGATCTCAGAACCCGCGGAACGCTCTCGGCGAGGCGCAGCCGCCGGAAGACATCCCGAGGCTGGAACGCCGCCGAGAAGCAGCGAACACGTCAGAAAACCTGAGGAACTTCGAGCCTCGAGCCGCCCCGAACGTGCCCTGTCCACCCCTACGCTGCCCCCGAGCCTCCGCCTCCTCCAGCCTGCCGGAGGCCTCGAGGGCCTCGGCGAGGCCGCCCGCCGCGTCGAGCGCGTCGGCGTGCGCGGGGCCCAGGGCCTGCTCGCGCGCCCGCAGCACGCGCTGGAAGAGGGCCCCGGCCTCCTCGCTCGACCCCAGCCTGCAGAGAACCTCGGAGCAGGGCAGCTCGCAGTCGGTCCCTGGACTTAAAGTTTCAGTCGGGCCTGCCCCTCTGCAGGGGGAATGCTCAAAAATAGTAAGCGACGAGGGGGCTCCCCGAAGGCCAACTGCCGCTGCCTCGGCGCGCCCTCCTCTGAGAACCGCCGCGAGCGCGGCGAGTGCGGCGAGCGTCTCGGGGTGCTCCGGCCCCAGCGCCTCCTCTGGAGGAACACAACACTGCATGCAGTCGAGTTCGTTTGGAGGGGACACGCGAGAGGGCACAAGACCCATCCGAGGGCCACATTGCCCCAGGTTCATGCAGCCGACATGGGACGCGAAACGCAGGAGGCAAGGCTATCCTTGATCGGGAAGGGTCGACCTGCTAACCAAACTCCGCTTGAAACATAAACCTTCGGGGTTCGGGGCTCCGAGCGGATCTCTTGGATCTGCGATGAGGCGCCAGGGGCGGCGCCGGAGGCGCCACTAGGGGAGGCCCCCAGTGCCGATCCACGAAATCCGAGCGGAGCGCCGACAATTTATGCCTATGCCACTTGAGCGACGATCAAAGACGGGTCGCACGCGAGATGGCACAGCGACCTTACGCGGTGGCTTTCGCGGGCCGCCGGCGGTGCACGCCACCTCGGAGACGAGGGCGCTCACGCACGGCCTTCTGCGGGCAGCTTACGCGCGAATGTCGGCGCCGACGACCCCGCTTTGGGCGTCGCTCACTTGATCTCCTCCGATCCTCCGCGGCGGCGGCGCCCCCACGGAGGTGCGGCTCCGCCTCCCTGGTTCGGGCCGGACGAGGGGGCGGGAGAGGGACAAGAGGGGTGGATCCGACATCTGCTGCACGCCGCCGGCTTCCCCGCCGCCGGGGCCCACTCCTCGATCTACGGTTAAGTCGGGCCTGCCCCACTACAGGCCGATTTCACACGAAAAATTAAGCATAGTCAAAACATACCCTACAATATCCAAAAATGATATAAAAAAAATCGTCCCCAAACTATTTTCGACCATTTTTGAATATCCCTCCTGTAAAGGGAGAAGCCCGACTTATCTCTACGGGGGCGCCTCCCGAGCGCCCAGGAGGCGCCAGGGAAACCGGCCACGCGAGCGGACTCTGCCCAGACCCCTTGGCTGTCCTGCCCTTTCGTCCCCCCGCGACCTGTGCTTGCCCATCTCCCACAGCAGCGAAGCGAGGCGGCTCCGCGCCTCCGCCAGGCGCCCCGACTCGGATCCCGCCGCCTCCCTCGCGGCCAGCACCCGGACGCACAGTGTCTCTGCCTCCGCAGGAGGCACCGGCCGCACGAGGATGCAGTCAATCCATGCAGTAAGGATGCGCGGCAAGGATGCGAGGGCCTTGGGGCGCAGCCGAATACCGAGTGGGGTGGTACGGATGCAAAATGGAGGCTTCGAAGACGGCACCAACACCAGCACAGGGGTTTGCCTCTACCGGGGGAAGATGATCCTAGATTTTGGTGTTGGTGGCAATCTGTCGGCCACCTAGAAGGCCTGATGTTACCACCATTGCCGAGATAGGGATCATCTTCCCTCGGTGGATGCCGGTGGATGCAAACCGACGATCATGGTGTCGGTGTCAACCTCCAGGCCTCCGAGCAAGGGCAACCTTGGAAAATTGCTCATCCTTGCTGCGCGGGCTGACTGGAAACTCTCGGGGGCCCGCGGCGGATCCCGCGGATCGGCGCTGGACACCCCTGCGAGGCGGGGCTGCTTCCTGCTTCCGTGTATCCGCCGCCTGTGGGACCGACGTCCTGGAAACCCAGCCGGTGGTGGATATGGATATATTTTGGCGCCAGGGGGGCAGAACACCTATAGTTACCTATACATATACCCGTACGTGTACCTATATATATATATATATATATATATATATATATATATATATATATATATATATATATATATATATATATATATATATATATATATATGTATATATATATGTATATACATATATATATATATATATATATACACACCTCTCTCTCTATATATATATACGCATCTATATACACAATTGAATCATGTTTTGTGATAGTCGTAATACAAAAAATGCAGGTCCCGAAGGGGCCCTCTTCGGGTCTCTTGAGGCCGTCCGCTTTGGCCCCCCAGGCCAAGCTAAAAGAGCCTTTTGGGGCTGTTCTGGGGCGGTCTGGGGGCCCATATGGACTGTTTGAGGGCCCTCTTGGGCCGTTTTGAGCCCCTCCGGGGTGCTCTTGGAACGTTTTGGGGCCGTCTTGGGCCTCTCTTGGGCTGTCTTGGGCCCTGTTGGGCGCCTATTTAGAGAGATCTCGGGGGCCTCGTCGGCCGTCTTGGGCGCTCTGGAAACCGAGAAGCCGGGTGTGCGAAACTTGCACCGAAACTCGCGGAAAACCCACAAAGTCCCACCAGCCCTCTGGGCGTAGGTGGTCTAACAATGTTTTTTCTTTCCTCTTCCAAAAACCCTTTTTCCCCAAATTTATCATTGTTCCGTATTAATATATACCCCCTCCCCCGGGCGACTGGGGGCCAACCCGAGATAAAGGCCCCCCCCATCCCTTGTAAAAAACAATTCGCCGGCCCAACGGGCGAGAGGCGTGCTAAGATCTCCGGTGACTGGTTAACAGTATTCCACTTCGCGCGCGCGGGGCGGCCCCTGAGGGTCTCCGGGCGAAAAAAAAAAACGGCAAGGTCCCGGCAAATCTGGGTCAGAGATGCTGGACCAGGCAATTTTTCGATGCCCCTCACGAGGATCCTGGCCTCCGGGGGGGGAACCGCGATCGACTACCCCCCCTCCCGCCCCAAGAGGCCCCCAAGAGCCCTCCAAGAGGCCCTGCATGGGGCCCCCAAGACGCCGCCAAGGAGCCCCAAGAGACGCCCAAGAGGCCCCCAAGAGGCCCCCAAGAGGGCTCCAAGGCCGGCAAAATGAGCGAAACGATTATTATTAAATACGCAACAAATTCAGCCTCCAAAGTCGGAGCATGCGCAGCGAACCCGATGCGGCCTCCCCCCACCATCCTTGTCAACAAACAAACCAATACACTTGGCGGCGGCGGCGGCTGCGGCGGCCGCGGCGGCGGCAGCGGCTGCGGCGGCTGCGGCGGTGGCGGCGGCGGTGGCGGCGGCGGCGGGGGCGGCGGCGGCGGCGCGCGGCGGCAGCGGTGGCGGCAGCGGCTTCGGCGGCTGCGGCGGCGGCGATTCGGAAACGGGCGGTGGCGGCGGGGCGGCGGGCGGCGCGGCGGCGGCGGCGGGCGGCCGGCGGCGGCCGCGGCGGAGGCGGCGGCGGCGGATTCGCCCCCAATAGCTGCCTATCCGAAAACGACTGCTGAATATGCTGCGGCTCGGGCCAGGCTCGGGTGCTACGTCTGTGCTGGGAGGGCGGGTGGGAGTGAGCGAGACGGGTTGCGGGCGGAGGGAAGTCTCCCACGATGCCCCAAATGGACCCAAAACCGCTCCAAGAGCGCCCCCAATGAGCCCCAAGAAACGGTTTGCGGGCTCCTGAGGGGGGAGCTGAATTTGGGACCCCCCCCATCCTCTAATCGATGGCCTCCAAGATGATCCCAAGAAGCCTTCCAAAATTACCAAGGGGGTTCCAAGAGGACCCCCCAGACTCACAGAGAGCACCAGCAGCAACAGTAGCCGCAGTAATACCTTTAGATGATTTCATGCGTCCTCGTCCGCGTTCTCCTCATCCTAATCGTCGTCCTCCTCGTCCTCGTCCTCCTCGTCCTCGTCCTCATCCGCGTCTTCGTCCTCCTATTCCTCCTCGTCCTCATCCTCCTCTTGCTCCTCCTCCTCTTCCCCTCGCCCCCGCGCGGCCCCCCAGGGATGGCCCGAAGAGGCCTTCCAAGGCCACCCCCTTGCTCCCAGAGATCTCTCGGTTCACCCTAGTTGCTCGCTCTGTTTCCCTAGATGTGTCTCTTCGTCCCTTCTCCCGTCAGCTGTCATGGGCGGGGCTTCCGAATGGGCTGGTGGGGGTATTTTTTTTGTCGCAGCCGCAGGCGAAGGCGCCAGCGGCGAGTCGAGTCAGCCCGGGCCACGAGCGGATCTAATTGCCGGCGCGCGCGCAGGCACCAGCGGAACCTACCGCCGGGGGAAGCTGCTGCACCGAGGGCCGTTGCTGCAACCGCCGACGGAAAAGAGGCAGCGCCGAGGGTGGGGACTGCAAGCTGCTGGGGCTGCCATGAAGCTGCAAACGTGCGGGTACCCCGGGGGCGTGACCATCAGGTACGTGAATTAGACCTTGTCGCCACAGGGCGCCAGAGGTCGGCGCGCCACAGACGTGGCGAAGCGCAGGGCTGCGAGACAGTCCAGCGTGTGGCAGCGCTGGTGGGGATTCTTTTTGGTCAGCAGGCTCGCGAGGCGGGTCGAGGCGGTCCGAACACTAGTCGGGCCGCGACTAGGCAGGCTGGTGGGGATACGCGAAGAAGAGTTTGTGCCTCCCAGAGGACTCTTGGGAGTCGTTTTCGGACCCTCTGGAGCCAGCCAGGGAGTCCCTTAGGCCGTCGAGTGGCCATCTTGGGGCACATCTTGGGCCATCTTGGGCCCACTGTGGCCGCCTGGGGGCGCTCGCCGGGCCCTCCTGAGACCTCCTGGGGCCCTCGCTGGGGCCGTCTTGGGGCCATCTGGGAAGCGATTGAATTAGTACAACTGTGCGCACACACGAACCTATATATATATATATATATATATATATATATATATATACATACATACATACATGTGTATACATACGTATATATATATAGAAGCGCAAACACATACATCGACATACGCACAGACGCGCGCACACACACACACACACACACACGCACGCAAGCACGCACGCACGCAAGCACACACACATACACATACACACATACCGCACCGCACACATGTTTACACATATGTAAATACGCAAATACACATGCATCTAAACATACGCATCTCTATACACAGATGCATGTATCCACGCATAAATGCATACTGCTACACCATGGATATACATACAACAATACAAACAATATGCATACGCACATCCACACATACACACAAACATGCACACGTCCATCCACCCATCGATCCCTACACACATACATGCTTACGTGCATACATGCATGCGTACATACACACATCCATACACACAGGCATACAACCATCTCAACACACATGCATACATATATACATACATGCCTACATACATACACACATGAATTACATACATGCATGCACACACATATGTAAATACATACATACATACATACACACATACATACACACATACACACTTACAACGCAACTGGTACATATATGTATATATACATACATATATACATACCTACATACATACGCACACACACATACAAACATGCATGCATGCACACATACGTACCTACACTCATACATACATACATACATGCATACGTACATACATACATACAATCATACATACGTACATACAACCATACACACATACATACGCACACGCATCCGTACATACATGCATACCCACATGCATACATACACACAGACGTGCATATATACATCTTCACATGCACAGGAACATACATACATACATGCATGCATGTGTACATACATACATACATACATACAGACAGACGGACAAACATACATACATACATACACACCTGTATACTTACACACGCGCATGCATACATACGTACAATCACATACATACCGGTATCTATATACATATATGTAACTATATATATATATATATATATGTATATATATATATATATATATATATATATGTATGTATCCATCGCCCGCCGAGGCCCCCGAAACTCGATCTCCCAGGCTGTGGTTACAAGTCAACCCCCGCCTCGGAACCCCTCCCAGGGGCGGAGGCCAGAGGCGCCGTCAGGGGGGCGCCCGGCGCCGACCCCAGGAGATCCGCGCGGCGCTCCGAGCGCTTCGGCTTTTGTGCGCTTGGTGCTCCTCGGGCCTCGCTGTACTTGCCCGACCTCTTGAGGAAGCTACACTACATTGAGGGATGAAAAAACAACCCTACCCTGGATTACAAGTGCGTGGTCTGTGAACCTCTTGGGAACCCCCAAAGCCTAGAACCGCCAGGACGCGGCACATCACGCAGGGTTTCCCCTGTCAGCCCACAGGAGTTTCAGAGCACAGCGCCTCGTACACCAGGGTAGGGGCGTTTTTTCTGCCCTTGACTACAAGAAACAGATACTGCTACTCCCTGGACCTCTCGCGGCCGTTTTCTATCCAGAGTTCAAGAGCCGATCCCAGGAGGACCCCCAAGGGGCACGAAGGCGAGACGAGGGTAGCGGTACCGTTCCTCTTCCTAGACCCCGGCGTCAAACTTATTCTCGCATCGTGGACCCCTGGAGATCTAGACCCATTCCCCGGACCCGTTTTTCATTGTGAGCAGTTCTTGGCCGCCACGGGACCAGAGGCCCCCAGAGGCAAAACAAATAGTCTAAGACCCTCCGCCGCGATTGGTTTCACGACGCGAGGGAACTCTGGGTTAGAAGGACGGCCCCCCGAAATTGTTCGTCCCGGATAAGTTTTTGCTAACCCCGGGGCCAGGAAACGGGTCCCAAAGGCCGACATCGAAGAAACACGCCCAATTTGGAACACCATATCGTCGGAGATACGGAATCAAGTTATGTTCTTCCTCTGACCTCTGGAGGACCGCGGCCAGCTCCGCCATGGCCTGATTGGGAGCGTTAGGGGAGGGAGCTCATGGGGGGAACAATGAACGGGAATCGGCGATGTGTCGCCGATAGATCGGCGATAGGCTTTCGATAGCGAGTCCGCACATTCCTAGGCGGGGTGGGCTGTGAGCTCCCTATCTATAGAGGCCTCCTAAATGGGGTCCAACCCACCTGCTCTGACGCCATCAGGGAGGCTTAGACTAGACTATTGGCGATGAATGGGCGACTGGAGACTGGAGGTCCATGCCTCCCCCCTAAGCCTTTCCCCCCCCTCTCGGCTACGCGTACGAGTGACCTTAGGCAAGAGTGACCTTTGGTGCGCGGGGTCGGGGGGGCAAAGTGGCCAAATCCAAGCGCGCAAGCAGCCGCTATCGCAAGGCGCTCAGCGATCGTGGGGGCCCCCGATGAGCCCGCAACGCGGGTCACTCTGGCGAAATATTACTGCTATCCGTCGGTCGTAAGGAGCACGCAGAAACACGCAGCTGGAAGGCGGTGAGAGTAGAGATCGGGCTTCCGCCCGCCGCCCGAAGAGGAAGGACGAGGGAAGCGCCGCCCGACTCTTGAAGCAGGAAGGCGCCGAAGGCAGACTGGGACCTGGGGACCCAGCACTCCCTGCGCACCTCCCGGGACCGACGCGCAGGCGAACCCCACGTGGCCCCCCAATGGCCTCCAGGGCCCCCGCGCCCTCGGGCCCGCCGAGCTCGGCGGGCCCGCCGAGCTCCACCCGGGCCCGGAGCACGTCGCGGCGCAGGGCCTCGGCCTCTGCCAGCGCCCCCGCCCCGCTGAGGGCCGAGGCGAGGCTGGCCTTGGCCGCCAGCGTGTCGGGGTGCCTTCTGCAGAGGAAGGGCAAGCCCAGCCCCCCTCGCAGCGTTACGAAATCGCGGCGGCAAGTCTCTCAAAGTTTCTGGCCTCTGGGGGCCCTCGCTGGGCCGGGGGGCCGCCGAGAGGCGGCCCAGGATGAAAAAGGCGGGTCCGGGGGAACGGGCCGAGGTCTCTTGGGGCCTACATTTGGAAAAATCACCACGTCGGGAGTCTGAGGGCCGTCGGAGCTCCGCTCGGACATCTTGGATCGGCGCTCACCCTCCCCATCCTGGCGCCCTGGCAGCGCCTCCGGCGCCACCCCTTGCGGGCGACGCGCGCGAGGGAGGGGGGCCCATCGCCGATCGAAGATATCCGCGCGAAGATCCGAACAATTAGGTTTCTCAAGTTTTTACCTCTTCGAGCCTTGGCCCCAGACTGGCGCTCTTGACATTGGCAGCGCGCCGGAAGAGCTCCTCGGCCTCCCTGTGTTAGAAAGCAACTCCTGGGAGGTATTCGTGAGAATGACCAGGGGCTATCATTAGCCCGATTCAGAGGCCACTGAGCCTGATTCGCCCAGATTCAGGCAGCTGGATTGCAGTGAGTGAGCCCGCATAACAAGGATGTGCAAGGGCCGTGGACGCCCATGCCGAGGTTCTTCGAGCGGGGCTGGCGATTGAAAGCGATTGAAGATGGACCATCGATGACCGAAGAGGCAAGGAAGCAAGGATAAACACCATTGGGAAGTCGATCGTCGTTAACCCTGAAAGGTCTGTAGAGCCCCCCCAAATAGGGGGTAACATCTGTTTTCGGCGGCCTTCTTCAAGCACTGGGGTCCCACCAAGAGAGGTGACTATTTTTTTTCCGCGGCGCCCGCCGCGCAACAACGACGACGACAGCCACGACTACGACGACGATGACGACAGAAACTCTATCCTCAGAAGCTCCAGGAAGAGGAGGAGGAGGAGGAGGAGGAGGAGGAGGAGGAGGAGGTTTTAGGACCAGTCCGATTCACCGCCGAGAGAAAAAAGGGGTGGGGACCAAAACGAAAGACCTTTAGCGGTTACTATGCGGGTTGACTGTGTAGGCAGGATTGCGCGGACTCAAGCGGGATCACGCAGGGCTGGGCTGGTTGACTACCACGGATCTACTAACCAATCGTGGGCGCCGACAAGCGCACACGCTCAGGGGGGGAGCAACGACCCGCCATCACCCATCCATTGCAGTCGGGGCCTGGGTGCCCCACACCATCCCGGAACGTGCGGCCGCCCATCGCAGATTCGTCGGCGATGCACCGCCGAATCCGAATCGATGTTCCCCCCTCCCCCCTTAGCCAGTTGCCCCCCTCTCGGTCCGCCTCAAGTGAAGGGGAACTGGAACACACAAATAAATAGACACAAATAAAAATATCCCCCATATTTTCCAATATTTTCTGGGTTTTTGTCTTCCCGCCCACTTCCCATATTTTTGCATATTTTCTGGGAAATCGAGGATTAATTGTGTCTGTGTGTTTCTTTTCCTCCTGATCTCGGTCCGCCTCAAGAGGGGGTCGTGGTGGCGCGGCCGCCCACTCGGGCGCCGCCGGCCTCCCGGGGGCACCGACGTCGAGCCCACCCTCCCGGGAGTTGCGCCCCGACCTGTGCCGGCCCATCCCCTGCAGGAGCGCCGCCAGGCTCCCCACGGTGGTGATGGTGTCCGGGTGCGAGAGGCCGAGCGTGGCCTCCCTCGTCTCCAGGACGCGGCGGCACAGCGGCTCCGCCTGCTCCCGCTGGCCCATGGCCTGTACACACACAGACAGACACACACGCGCACGCACGCACGAGCACGCAAACACACACGCAAACACACACACACACACACAAACACACACACACAAACACACACCAACACACTCACACACATGCGCCCGCACGCCCGCCCGCCCGCCCGCACAAACACACAAACACACAAGCACACAAGCACACACAAACATTAACACACACAACCACACAAACGCACAAACGCACAAACACACACACATACACATACACACATACACACAAACACACAAACACACAAACACGCACAAACGCACAAACACGCAAACAAACACACAAACACACACACACACATAAACACACACACACACAGAAACACACAAACATACACGCACACACACATGCACACACACACAGAAACACACAAACATACACGCACACACACATGCACGTACGTAGGCACGCACGTGCACGCACGCACCCACGCACACACCCATACACACTTTTTGCGTCGGCGGCTGGGCAGAGGTGCTGCTCTGGCGATGTGGCAATAATGGGGCACACAAGACGCGAATTAAGCCGCAGTGCACGTGAAAAGGAGAAAAGAAATTCGGCGCGGGCGGGGGGGAGAGGAAGCCGGGCCCGCTCACAGCAGGGCCAGGCGGCGGCGGGGAAGGCGCTGGGGTGTGGAGCCAACCCGCACACACACACGCACACAAACACAATCACACACACACACACACACACGCACACGCACACGCACTCCCACACCTACACGCACAACTTTCTCAATCAGGTCGCCCAATTTCGGGCCTCGGGACCATCAAATATTGATCCCGCTCGAAGAACGGCGCAGAAGGATGGGGATGGGGTATAGGGCTCCAGTCGTGAATTGTCGCGATGTCGCGTCGTCGGATCTCAGGGCACACGGACACAAACAGACACACAGACAAACATACACACAGACACACAGGCACACAGGCACACAGAAACACACAGACACACAGACACACACACACAGACAGACACACACACAGACACACACACACAGAGACACACACAGACACACACACACACACACACACACGAACGTACCCACCAACACACACAACAACACTCACAGACACACACACACAGGCACACACCGACACACACACAAACACAAACACAAACACACACACAAACGCACGCACATGGACCACAGAGTGGCGATCCCCCTGGCGCAGAGTCTACACGCCTTGCGGACCAATCACATTTTTGCGATCTGCACAACCCCTCCTCCTTGGGGGAGACATCGGAAAAGACGATGCCGGCGATGACGGCACGACCGTGAGGACGTCGACGACGGGCCTCTCAAGAAGGAATCGTGTTACCAACGGCCTCACGCATCTCATCTGAGTGAAATAGCGAGGACGGACATCCGGCCAATCCAACACAAGTCCCCTACATTCAAGAATGGGGAATTGAATATGCGCAGTGCACTGTCGGTGCACCTGGCCCTCGTTCACTTTGGGTCAGAGACCATTGACACGAAGCAAGCGGGTCCTAGAAGGAAATGGGCCCTGGACCCCAGGGCCAGCCCTCAGGACAGACTTTGCGTCTTGGTTCGTTTGCTGACGGTCGCAGGGCCCGTGGAGGGCCCCCGCAGGCAGAACACATTGGAAAACTAGAGCAGAGAAACACAGCGCTGCATGCACTTGAGCTTTCGGAGGTCCGCGCGGATTCCTTGGATCGGTGCTGGTCCCCCTTCCCTGGCGCGCGGGGCGCGCCTGGGCGGCCGCCAGAGGCGCCGCCAGGGCGGTACCAGCGCCGAGTCAAGAAATCCATGCTCGTACACCCTGCGAAATGCTTAAGAAATCATGGGTTAAGAAATTCATAGTCTCAGAACTTGAATAAAAACCCAACATTTCCATTAAAATCTTAGGATTTCCATTGAAAAATTAAGAATAATCGAGACTCTGGCCGAAAACTTAAGTTTTCTTAAGCATCGCCCAAGGTGTACTTAGGTGGTCTTACGTATGGTCTAAGGAACTGGGCCTGCGCGTCGGTCTGGCGGCTATGTGGTCGCGGTCGCCGCTCCGGCGCCGCCTCGGCGCAGCCCGTCGTCTGGACCTGCGCGTCGGTCTGGCGGCTTTGTCGTCGCCGTCGCCACCCCGTCGCCGCCTCGTCGCCGCCCGCCGCCCCGTCGCCGCCCGCTGTGCATTGCTTATCAGTGCTTAGGATTGCTTTGGACTGATTCGCATTGGTTGACATTCTTTCGCAGCGCACTGCGCTGCATTGTACGGCATTGCTTGGTGGCACAATATATATTGCACCACAGGTTTTGCACAACTCAGGTTGAACCACTGGTGCCACACACACTGTACCACATACATTGCAAACCTGTAATGCACACCATTGGTTGCTCAGCATAGACTGCACATACATTGACCACCTCGGTTGCACCACATGGATTGCGAACGACGTCGATTGCACGACACAAATGGCACCACATAGATTGCACCACGTGGATTGCACGGCATCTATTGCACACTGTAGATTGCGCACCATAGATTGCACCGCAGAATTTCACCACGTAGATTGCTCCACAGACATATTGCACCACCTGGATTGCACCATTCAGATTTTCCTTCATAGAGTGCTCCACTGAAATTTGCACACCACAGATTGCACCACATATATTCTCCTGTCTGACAGAGCACGAGGGTCTACCCTCCCCCCTGGGTTAACAGTACACCTTTCTCGTATTGTAACGTTTAACGGTATGTTCTCTTACCGAGGAGAGCGTTCGAGTCGATCCCCCCTCACCCAGATTTAACAGCTCCCCTTCTCGTACTGAAATGACATGCATTTCTCCACCAATCGCCCATCCTACATATGAACGCGTGTCATCCCAACCGGGCAAGTATCGACACCCCCTCATCCTCTGCAAAAAACGCGCGCACTCGTGCATCCTTTTTTACAACGAATCCTTTACACTAGAAGAACAACGAGATGCATACGCGCGCGTCGCCGCGCGCGTGTTCCAAAATCGCTCAGAAACCGTAGGTTTCGAACGGATTTCAGAATCGAGTACCCCGAAAACAGATAAACAACGCATGGCCTCGCAACAACAATGTTCACAACAAACTGGCGGTCGCGCTCTTGCATATTATTGAACAAACATCGGTTTGTCAACCTGTTCTTAACATGCTACCGAAACGGCTTTTCGCGCGCGCGTGTCGAAATCGCTCGAACGCGCTTACGCTCGCTCTGTCGCAAGAGTCCCGTGCAACAGACGGGACGAAGTGCACGCGTGCGCGTTTTCGCGCGCACATGCCGAAATCCTCCAAACAACTTCAGTGTAATCGAGTGTCCCGAGCACATGTGAAACACACACAGTGTTTCGCAACATTCACTTTCAGAAAGCCTGCGCGCGCTCTTGCGAATTCTTGAGAAACTCATGGGTTGTTCTCAACATGTTCCTTCAAGTCTGCCAAGCGGGCCTCTCGCGCCGCATGTAGCACTCATCCGAACGTACTTGCGCGCGTGTTCGGGGGGCACGATGCGTGTCAAACAATGCCACGCGGGCGAGTCGCGCGCGTCGCCCGCGCGCGCATGTTTAACTCCTTCCAAAACCTTCATCACTGACGCGAGGACATCGTCATCGCTATCGGCGGGCGTGATCAACATCAGCGCCGTTATTGGCTTTGCCGTCGTCGTCGTCGTCGTCGCCATCGTCACCATCATAGCTACTCTAAGCATCGCGTCTACCGCTGTCGGGTGGGTGGGTTGGATGATTGCGCGAGCAGTGGAGTTGACAACTCAAAGCGCGCATAGGTGAATTGCACCATGTAGATTGCACCGCATAGGTTGCACAACAGAGATTGCACCGCATATACTGCACCACATAGATTGCATCACGTAAATTGCACCACGTAGATTGCTAGAAGCACACTGTTGAGGGTCCACGCTGGCTGACATGTTCTCCTTTCTCCACCAGGGTTTGGCTTGAGGGCTCTAGCCGTATTAAAGTAAGGGCCACAGCAGAGTCCCACAGGGGGGACGGGGAGCCCCAGGCCGCCTGGTCCAACGACCGGGCCCCCTGAGACTTCCTCACCCTTGACTCGGGTATCGTGCTCTCGCCTCATTGTCAGCTATCCTCCACCGTACCGCGGCAGGCTGAAGGGAAGAATGCCAAGGACTGCCTGGCAGGCTCTCTGTGACCCCCCCCCCCCGGCACGCTTCCCTGACTGCATCGCCCCTATTACCAGGGGTCCCTGGGCGGCCATGGCACCTCCCTGGGGCTCTCCAAAGCTTCCATGACGACCCAGGAGGGCCCCGAGACAGTCCAAGAGGGCCCCGGGTCGCCGAACGATCGCTCGAAGACGCCCAAGATGGCCTCAAGACGGCCAAAGAGGCCTCCACGACGCCTCACAAGGCCTGTAAGAGGCCTCCCAAGAGGGCCACACGAGGCAGCAATCCTTGATTTTCAATCCGCTGTTGTAAGATTTTAGCGTTCTCTCGCCTTTTAGGCTTCCACACGCTCCCAAACGCTCCAAAAGAGGCCAAAGAGAGGAAACACAAACGAAAATCCAAGCCTTCCGCCCCAAGAGGCCCCCAGGAGGCCCCCATCAGGCGCCCAAGAGGCCCCAAGAGGCGCCCAAGAGGCCCCAAGAGGCCCCCAAGAGGCCCCTAGAGGCCCCCAAGAGGGTTCACAACGGCCCTCAAGAGACCTCCCACGAGATCCCAGCGAACATCCGATAGGCTTCATACCCACAACCCAAACACGGTGGCGGGACTTGCCAATGACAGCTGGATCCGCCGCCCCCTGTTGATTCATCACAGGGGTGCCTGGCGTGCTAGACTTTTTACGGTTTGGCTTTGGTTCTTTATCCAAAAGAACTCCCCCTGAGGCTTCGGCGCGTCCCGCCGGCTGCCTGGCTCGTCGGCTTTTTCGCTCAAGATAGCCCAAGATGGCCTCCAAGACGGCTAAGATGACCTCAAGACGCCCCCAAGACGGCCCAATATGCACCCAAGACGG